ACCAGTTTCTCTTGACTAATATTTATGCAATTGATGATCTGACATGTATTCAGTGAATCACTGTATGAAAAAAAAGTTAACCAGGTTTTGGTGAAATTGGGTTTATGATTAGAATGGAGTAAATGCTGAAATGAGATATTTCTAGTTAGTCATCCAAATCATAACTGTGTATTTATTTTGATACCACTTAAAATCTTATTTAAGTGGCCATTTGAGAAGTATATTCACTAGCTTTGAGTTAGTCTTTTAGTAGAAAAGAGTGTTTAAAACTTGAGCAACTATTTATATGATTATACAGTCAGTTGTATCATAAAGACAACTGTAAATACATTCTTGTGAACTTACTTCATCATTTCTGGAAAAGTTTGTTTTCCAGTGGGTGCATCTACATATTGCCCTATGGCAACGCTGTTACTGTGCCGTGCTTTTGTAATTCCTTTTCGAAGTACTAAAGCATGACAAAGTAACCACCCATATTGTGCCGTATGTGCAGTGCACGGTTATTTTTAGCAGCTACTTTGCTGTAGCAGCGCACTATAACAGGGGAGCGGACCGCTACAGCAGTGTAGCTGCTGGTCATGTGTAGACATCTATGGATGCTATGTTGCCGTAGCACATCGCTATGGCAATGTAGAGTCACATGTAGATGCACACACAAGTGACTAAACGGAGTGGAGCAAATGCTTGCAAAGTAGTTTGTAGAGGTGGACATATGGTATCCAAAACATTTATTAAATATTCTCCTGTATTCATTCAGTCAAAATCAGTCTTTTCACAGATAAGAGAAGCAGTGGTTAAATTTGCTGAAGTAATTGTATTTTGTTACACTTAGCTTTTTATTGTAGAGTGACTTAAAAAATGAGAAACGAACATATATTTCTATGACTCTAGTCGTAGATTCAAGAGAACTGTAGTCCCAAAGCAAGTGGGCAATAATGTGAAGCTAAGAGGATCAAACATGTTGGGGTTTTAAAGAGGAACTTCTTTATAATACCTAGCCCATAAGCATTCTGGGGCAGAAACTGTTTGCACTGTATTTTTATAGGATACTATATAAATGGGGCTTCTAAGCTTCACTGCAGCAGCAGCAACAATAATAATAATGATAATAATAGTTGTTATTAACTAATCAGGATGAGGGTGCTAGTCAAGAGCGAGAACAGAAAATAACAATAAAGAAATATTTAAATATTTAAAAGTTAAAATTTCAAAGTGAAAAAATATTAGGTTTAAGTGCTAAAAAGTGACATGATTTGATTTTGATTGGATGTTCTGTTTTCCTTAGCTTGATGACAAATATGGAGGAGGGGGTATTGTTTGAATTTTAATCTAAGTGTTGTGTTTTCTCACCTTTCTTCAGGATTGTGTAGTGTCTGCTTTACATGACATTCATCTTGACTTCTAGCCAACATGTTTTATCAACTAATTGACTAAATCCCAAAATTATTCACGCAAAATTCCCTTTCATTTCAATTGAGGGTAATTTCCCCCAGTAAAAACTGTAGGATTGTATCAATAAGAAATTTTCTAACATAAGTTCATTTCAGATTATTTTCTTTTGTTACCTGATTCAGACTGTTTTCTTTTTTATTATTGAATATTATAGAATGTTCCTCAGTCTAATAACAAAATATTGATAGCTACTGGGTTACCCCTTTATTGATATTGATAGCTACTGGGTTACCCATGAAATTTTTTCTTTGTTTCAGCTTTAGGTTGTGGTGTTTTGCTCTCATTGCAGATTGTGAAGTTGCAATGAAATGAAATATCTGCCAAGTGTGATCAAACATGCAAAAACAGGACTGTCCAAAAACAAAAGGGATAAAATATTGACTTCTTCTTTTAATCCCTTTTTGTTTCAGTCAAAGGAAAAATAGCTTTTATCAGTGTACTTGGTGACTTTGTGGTGCTGTAAATATCATTTTTAAAGCCTAATACTTAGGAGTGTTGTCACCCTGCAGCTGCCATTGACTTCAGAGAGACCTGTGAGTGTTCAGCCTCTCTGAAAAACAGGCCATTGGTTACTAAATGAGAAATCATACAGAGTAGTTTCTAGTGAGGCTACAATTGATTGATGGAGTTCCCTGAGAACTGTCAAGCTACCCCATGTAGCTACAATTATTAAAGTCCTGACAGTTAGAAGTGCTTCTGACTAGCATTTTGTTGTTGCCCCTGTTGTTCTGTATTCTTGCAGATGGCAGTTGTCCACAGTTTATTTGCTAATTATGGATATTGAGGTAAATAGGATCTTCAGTTTATAAATATCTGAAATATTTTTGGTAAAAAATACATTACTGTCCCTTCCCACGCTTTCCATTGATTATAATGAGAATTCCACTCATCAAAAAAGTGGCGGACATTGCTTTGGCTATCTTTATCTGTATATTCCAGGATTTTGTGACGAGGGGTGTGGGAGCAGTGACTGGAGCTCCAGACGTGCCTTCCCCACACTGCTCCCATCCCCTCCCAGCAGAGATGTTGGCAGGCAGGTTTCCCTTCCCCACACCTGCTCCTGGGCTAGGAAACATCCAAGAGGACCAGGCAAGGAAGGGGAACCTGCCTGCCCACACACTGCCACTGTCCCAGGCTGAGCCTAGTCCTTACACAGCCTGGCTGGAGCACGGCAGGAGCTCCCCTCTCCCCCAGAACAGGGGGAACAGTGGCAGCAGAAGGAGAAGGATGGGGAAATGGGAGGAAATAGCGTAAGGGAAGGGGGGAGGGGACATGCCTTTGACCATAGAGGAGAAGGGATGGGGGACTGGAATTCTAACCTCCTTTGGGGACTTACAAAAGCCCCTGGCTGCTGATCCTGCTGCATGGTCAGAAATGGGGTGCAGCTGCACCACTACATCCCTTCTAGATCTGCCCCATCTATATATTTATATGAAATTATTAACTCTTGATAAGTCTTTACTAATTTATTTATGAGTGGTGAATTTTCATAATAAGCTAGAAAGCATATTCTTTATCCTGTCTCCTGTCCTTAATCAGTTTATATCTTTAAAAAAATGGTCCTTAATAAGCATGGATCTGATTACAAATGCATATAGTTTTGATACATTTTTGATTTAGTACTGGTTGAGGCTTTATTAATTTTTCTTACTGCCTGTAACATTCAATGCATTTAGAAAACCTTAAATGAAGCATAATCCCTACCCTGCAGCACTCACAATCTAAAGAAAGACACATAAATAGTTCATGGAGGCAGACAAAATGGAAGAAATACACACATACTCACACATGCACGTGCACACATGCAAAATGGAAGAAATATATAATGCGCACCCCCCCCCCATACATGCCAGGTGGGAAGTATAAATGCAACAAGAACATTATATCCAGCATACTTTTCACACAACAGAGATATTTAGTACACTTCTTAATGGTATCTTGGCAGAGATGAGTCTTCTGCTGGGGCATATAGATGCAGAAACAAGAGAACACCATAAGGATACTTTTGAATAAGCTTAAGAAGGCCCGTGTATAAGGGGCATCATGATAGAAGTCGTCAAGACGTTTATGTGAGCCGATAAATGGACAGACACTAAAGTAGGGTACATAGAATAGGGTAAATTATGCCATTCTTTCTAAACTAGATTTTCCTTTGATCTAGTTTCGAGCCTAGGCTATTTGCATAAGAGGCCAACATTAGAAGCTTGTTTTTTTTAAATAGCCTAGAAAATCCAGATAAAAATATTCCAGTGAGTTTTGCTGCAAGACACATGTCTGAATCCCCTAAACTGCTTAGCTTATTTCAGTGAGAACATTCTGGAAAATGTGTATGAGATTGCAGTGGAAACCAGCTGAACTGCAATACCCTGTACTTTAACTGCTTTCATAGTTGGGAAAAAGTGCCTTTCTGCCAGTATGCCCTCTGTTATCAAATTTTTTGTCTGAGAAGGGCTGATAGAAGTCTGTTAACATCTTCCATAAATAAATTCAAGGGATTGCTCTAGCATGAATGTTTAGAGTTTTCTCCCTCTGTTGTCCCCAACGGACAGTGTGAGTTCGTGCCCGGTGCGCTATTGCCAATGAACACACAGGGGTGGAGGATCCAACTTAATCTTTATTGTTTCCAGTCTGCGCAGAGAGGGGTGCTTGGCAATCGTTTGCAAAGCAAGCACCACCGGTTTCTACCTTTGGGTACCTTTTATACATATGTTTGCAAGTGTATCGCTCAGTGATTGGTTACAAGCCACTGACATAAGACATTCTCTACTGAGCATGTCTCTATACCTATGTTTTAGCCATGTAATTCATTTACATACATATATGTTTCATTAACATACTTTTGCCCTGCCCAGGGGTGTGATTTTTAGTATTATAATGAGACCTTTTTCTGAACTTCTTGCTATCTTACAAGTGTCAGGGAGACATTATCCTGCTGGTGTTAGGGAGGCATTCCAGGAATCCTCCGCATCCCACACGCTGTGCTCTGCAAGCATCTCTTAACACACACATGCCACACCCCTCCCAGCATCTGCAAGTTGCCTTAAGTATTTAGTTAGATATAGTTTGCAAAAGCTAGATATACCGTAAAAAAGATTACATAAAAAGATTACATCACCTCCACAATGGATGTACAATAAAACAGGAGATACCCTCTAAAGTGTTTATTCATTGATTGTGTACTCTGTATTTCAGACTGTTACTTTTAAATTTAGTCAGATCAGCCTTACCTGCTCAGAATATTACCCTTTAGAAATTCTTTAAGACAGCTGTTTCTGTTAAGTTCCTATTACCCTAAGCTGTAACTATTTTGTTATGATTTATACTTGGACTTGTTCCCATACAAAAGGAAATAAGTTTTGGACAAGATAAAGTTATTTTCCCAGCACTGTGAAAAGCACATGAAACTCCCTTCAGGCAGCTGAAGTGCAGCCCTATTCCAGCTAAAGCCTCCACACAAACAAGGTTTTTTGTGTTTGTTTTTTGTTTTTAAGTGCTGGTTTCTTCAATTTGCCATGAATAAGAAATGCATTTCTACATTTCTAATGCAGGAGGCACTGAAAGAAAACAACAAAAAAAAAGAAATGGAGGAGAAGATCAAGAGAGCCAAGCTGGCAAAAGAGAAAGTTGAACGAGAGAAGCTAGAGCGGCAGCAGAAGAAGAAGCAGCTGATGGATATGAACAAAGGTAAGGCAACATTTTCAGTAGAACAATTTGTAAACAAAACCCCTCCCCCACAAAACAAAAAAACAATCCTTTAGACTAGACTTCTCCAGATCAGTATGAGAAGTACTTAATTGCTGAGGGGAAAATGGAGAAACCAAATTTTCTAGTGTGAGTTTTCTGTCCTGGTGTAGCCTTTCTGATTCCCATTTTATTTTGCATCTGTCATTCACTATATGTGATGTCTCTTCCAAAACATTTTGTGGTGAATTATTCTGTTGTTTTCATTTGGCATCGTTAATTGATTTTTTTTGTAAGGCTTTACTAACAAGAAAAAGTCTCTTTCTTGTTTTGTTGTTAATTTATTCTGTAAACATCTCTATCATCAAGATAGTATGGCAATTAACATCTTTCTTTTTTAGCTTTGAGGCTCCATATTATAAGTGGCTGTTCTCCCAACAGTCCTGTTATGAGCTGAAAAATCTGGTTCAGCTCTGAGCCTAAATACAGAGTGACATTTCAACATGATTAAAAAGCAGTGCTCATTGGCTAGACTATTCTGGATGAGGGTATTCTATGAGAAAGCACAAGGAGGAAGGAAGGAGGAATCAGCTGGCCCCTAATATCTATGTTATGTATGTTGTGCAAAGTTCCAGAAGACTGAAAAATGCAAGCTTTACTCTCTATCCCTTTGGACTCCAGAAAGTAAAGGAAGATGGCACAAATATGAATTAGATAGAAGTAGAGATTTACTTTAGGCTACAGTTGCTGTTCTCTTTCTGTGATCATTTGTGTGCTGTTGTAAGACTGAGCTAATCCTTCCCAATCATAAAACATATAAAAATGCTCAGTGTGTGACTACAACTTGTCTTTTCTACCCAGTGAGCAAATCTGACACTTTCACGCCTTGCGAAATAATAGCATTTTTTTTCCTTTGACAATCCATATGTACGATGCCAAGGTATGTTAGCTTCATACCAGAAAGATGTTACAACAAACTTCTAATTAAGGTGAATTGATGTAGCACTAAGCTGAAGATCAATCAATTAGACAGTAAGCTCTAAAATAAAATCATTACATTTTAAGTGAATGTATACAATATTTATAACAAAAGAGTATATACAAAGGTGCATTACACTCGAAGTATCAGGCCAAACTTTTAAATGCGACTCATGACTCTGACACTCTGATTTTGGATGTCCAACTTGAAAAGTCTTTAGTCTGTTTTTGTTTGTTTGTTTGTCTTTTTGAAAAGTTGTGTTATTAACCAGTACAGATTCAACACTTGGGAAAATGAAGGACCATAGAGTTAGCAACTCAATGTTTGATTAAGCGGTCTCTTCTTTAGCTTCACAAAAGACTTCCAGGCTATAGCAGATATGGAGGAAGGGGAAGGGTCTAGAAAACAAACGCTTAGCTTTTTCCAAAAACAGCTAGTATTTTAAGGTGCCTCAACTTTTTGATTTCCACGTTTGAGATGTCTTAAAAAAAAAAAAAAAGACGTGTGTATCAATTGATGGGTGTTTTCTTTCTGCTGATTTTCCAGTGAAGTAATAATTCCAACAGTGTGTCTGAAATCAGTAGTTTATAGAAGCTGAGTCTGATGACCTTGCAGCCTGTCATTAGCCTGAGACAGATATTTAAGCAGAATTGGTAAATTGCATGTCAAATAATCTCAGATATTCAATAACTAGTAAGGACTAAAATTACTAAGAAAATGAAAAGTGTAAATGATTTATATTAACCAGTTTCATCTTTTCATTATTCCCTCTTACTGGATAGTTCGGTTTTGAGTGTGGTGTGGTGGGTGGTTGATTTAATGAGTTGGTTTTCCTTTGAAGGGTCAAAAAGTAAGTGAGAATGGAAGATTTGCTTCTTGTTAAAGTATTGGTATTAAAAATATAGAGAAAAACAAGGTAACCTTCTTTTTTAACATGAACAAATAGATTTTTAACTAGTTTTCCAGAACAAGCTGTTGCAGTGACCTTGTCTATAAATATATGAGTAATCTTATGAGAGAGTTTCAATTAAATGTTTTTGTCTGGTGATGAAAACCATATAACCACGAATAGGAAACTGACTTCGTTTTCATTTTTAGTAATGAGCAGTGTAGAAGCCAGATTTTTTTTTCTCCTTTAAAAAAATCTGTGAAAGCTGAGCTAAGCTTTCTTTGTTTAAATGATAAAACAGTGAAATCAGTATGCTGAAATACACCTCCTTTACTACAGGATCCATGAGAAGGTGTTTCATCACACATTCTTTCCAAGACACATTACCATAGCATTTCCTGTCTTGTTTTATGTGTCTGCTATGTCAAAAACTGTTCAAGATTTATGACACTTTAAAATGAAGTTATTATGCTTTCCCCTATACTCCCACTATATTTCTAGATGTTCTGGATATTTATGAAATATGTGAAAAAGGAGAAAAAAAAACATGTATAGAAAAATAAGTGCAAACAGAGTTTTTTGTTTTGTTTTTCCCTCTTTTTTTGCTCCACATGGAAATATAGATTTGTCGTGAATCAGAGCAGCAGCCGGCAGCCGCCTGACTCACACCGGAGTGTTTAGATTTAGAGCTCGGCAGGCGGGTAGTGATGGATGGAGTGGAATTAACCAGGCACAGACGCGTGTAGGTTACAGGAGTTTGTTTACTTACGTCGCCTAGATAGTGATGGACGACGCAGGCGAGCCTTTGTTCCGTTACAGCTTCGTTTACAGAATCAAATATGCGCATATAGCTTCGGTTACAGAGTCGAGTACACGCACGCAGTTAGGTTACGACGAGATAATGACGGACGTGGCGCCGAAAACGGATGGTCGCGCTTGCAAGACTTTCTACGTCAATATTTTACGCTGACGGGGTGATCGATTGGGAATTGATCAATTTCCCAATTCTCTGGTGACAAGCACAGGTGTTTCCTGTGAGATCCCCAGAGCTCTCCGACTTGGGCGGAAACCGTTAAACTATTTATAGGCAGAGGTGTTTGACAGAGATGCCCAATCGTGAACCGTTATATGGAATCTTTAATTTTTGGCAGGTGGCAGCTCTTTGTCTCCTCAAGTTACAAGGTAGTGGGTTAGGTTTCTCTACCTGTTACGTGTGTGCTACGTGTGAGGAGCTTACGCTTATCTTTGACCAATTATATATAGTTTCCCCTAGCATTTTATTTCAGCTGACCAATTATCTGTAGTACACCACCAGCGTTTTGTTTCAAGGAATTTCTTGGCAGGGAGGTTTTTTAACACTTAATCATCAAAATGAGGATGATTTGAATGGTATCTCTTGCTCAGTGGCATGGGCACAATTTAATTGGGTTGTGACAAGATTCTTAACTGATGTATGAATTCAATCAAAAGAAATACCCTTTGAAAATTTAAATGTCTTCTAATGTTTGACTGTTTCTTGCTTTTTAAAATATATCAATACTATTTTACTTTCTTAGGTGCATACATTAGCAGATATCGTAGAATCATAGAAAGTTAGGAGAGGCCTCAGGAGGTCATCTAGTCCACTTCCTGCTCAAAGCAGGACCATCCCCAACCATATCATTCCAGCCAGGGCTTTGTCAAGTCAGGACTTAATAAACTCTCTCCAACTTGTCCACAACTTTTCTATAGTAGGGGGCCCAAAACTGGACACAATACTCCAGATGTGGCCTCACCAGTGCAGAATAGAACAGAATAAGTACTTCCCTTGATCTGCTGGCAATGCTTCTACTAATGCAGCCCAGTATGCTGTTAGCCTAATTGGTAACAAGGCCATACTGCTGACTCCTATCCATCTTAATGTCCACTGTAACCCCCAGGTCCTTTTCTGCAGAGCTGCTGCTTAACCAGTTGGTCCCCAGCCTGGGATGACAGAAATTTAAGGCATGGACAGATATAACAGTTATATCAAAGAATATTGATACAAGCTGCAGGAAATCACCTGATAACTTTTGTGTGATTCTGTATAGCAAGCATAGCAAAATTGCACCCATTTTAATCCTGCTTTTTCCAGGGTCTAAGCTATTATGATGGAGCTCACTTTCACTTCTGAGCTTGTAATGATTTAAGTGTTACAGTTGATGCCCACTCTCAAGCAGCTCTCCTTCCTTTCTGAAACAGCTATAATGTGTGTTCACCTATACTTTTATCTTCTGCTCACCTCAACTTTTTATGCATCCATGCTTAGGAGAACTAATCTAATCCATCTCTTAAGGCACCTGAATTTCCCATGTGTTCTCAGTGCATAGCCAGATGCAGCCATAGAGGCCAATACTGTTCTGCCAGTGAGTAATTTTATACACCTACAGAGCAGGTCAGCCCTGAGCAGGTAGTCAACCAGAGGCAGCCAATAAGAAACACTAGGCATAGGGGTGTATGCCTAACCCAGGGCTGCACATCCTGAGCCTCTGCTATCTTATGATCCAGCTTGCACAAAGGGAAGTAAGAGAAGGCCCATACTTGGGAGCTTGCTACAAGGAAGAGGAGGATCACTTTGTTCAATAGCCTAACTAGAGTGTTTCCTCAGGAAGGTGGAGATATGCATTCTAGGCCCACCTTGGCCGGAGAATCAAGTGGATGAATGGCATTTGGACCACAGCCTATGAGCAGGGTAATGCCCTCCTCACTGAGGTTCATGCTCCTTTGGTTGTTCTCCTTCTGGCCTAAAGAATCTGCATATTTGGCTGCCAGGCTTTACACTCATGGACGGTGTCCTCAGCCCTGCTTAGTTCATAGCCTGATGGTTATGACACTTTTCTAAGAAATGGAAGATGGGATTCAGATCCTTTTGGAAATGTACAAGAAATGTGGAAGCCCTAATCAAACTCTGGCTGCTGCATTTTTAATTACACAGAGACCTTCACATCTCAACAAACCTTTACTTGGAAGCATATGTAATGAGTGGAACCTACTAAGAGTTATAATGGAAAATATACTGGTTTGGATTTTTTTAAGTGTCCAATTAAAATTAGAAAAAAAAACAGATTCTTCCTAACAGGAAGTCCTTTACAGTGATAAAACTTTGCCCGAAATAGA